AAGAGCGATGCAAAAAAATTCAGCTTGCACCAAGTTAAATAAAGTGGTGAGGCGTCTCTTTCACTTCATTTTAAAGCTATTTTTCTAGATTTTAAAGTGCTTCCTGCTTCGTGCAATGCTTTGGTTGTTTTCTCAAATTTTAATTAATTGAAGGTTCCGCGATTAATATAGGAGCGAAGCAAAAAAACTCAGCTTGCACCAAGTTAAATAAAGTGTTGAGGCGTCTCTTTCACTTCATTTTAAAGCTATTTTTCTAGATTTTAAAGTGCTTCGTGCTTCGTGCAATGCTTTGGTTATTATCTCAAATTTTAATTAATTGAAGGTTCCGCGATTAATATAGGAGCGAAGTAAAAAAACTCAGCTTGCACCAAGTTAAATAAAGTGTTGAGGCGTCTCTTTCACTTCATTTTAAAGCTATTTTTCTAGATTTTAAAGTGCTTCCTGCTTTGTGCAATGCTTTGGTTATTATCTCAAATTTTAATTAATTGAAGGTTCCGCGATTAATATAGGAGCGAAGCAAAAAAAAACTCAGCTTGCACACAGTTAAATAAAGTGTTGAGGCGTCTCTTTCTCTTCATTTTAAAGCTATTTTTCTAGATTTTAAAGTGCTTCGTGCTTCGTGCAATGCTTTGGTTATTATCTCAAATTTTAATTAATTGAAGGTTCCGCGATTAATATAGGAGCGAAGCAAAAAAAAACTCAGCTTGCACCAAGTTAAATAAAGTGTTGAGGCGTCTCTTTCTCTTCATTTTAAAGCTATTTTTCTAGATTTTAAAGTGCTTCGTGCTTCGTGCAATGCTTTGGTTATTATCTCAAATTTTAATTAATTGAAGGTTCCGCGATTAATATAGGAGCGAAGCAAAAAAACTCAGCTTGCACCAAGTTAAATAAAGTGTTGAGGCGTCTCTTTCACTTCATTTTAAAGCTATTTTTCTAGATTTTAAAGTGCTTCCTGCTTCGTGCAATGCTTTGGTTATTTTCTCAAATTTTAATTAATTGAAGGTTCCGCGATTAATAAGAGCGATGCAAAAAAATTCAGGTTGCACCAAGTTAAATAAAGTGTTGAGGCGTCTCTTTCACTTCATTTTTAAGCTATTTTTCTAGATTTTAAAGTGCTTCGTGCAATGCTTTGGTTATTATCTCAAATTTTAATTAATTGAAGGTTCCGCGATTAATATAGGAGCGAAGCAAAAAAACTCAGCTCTCACCAAGTTAAATTAAGTGTTGAGGCGTCTCTTTCACTTCATTTTAAAGCTATTTTTCTAGATTTTAAAGTGCTTCCTGCTTCGTGCAATGCTTTGGTTGTTTTCTCAAATTTTAATTAATTGAAGGTTCCGCGATTAATAAGAGCGATGCAAAAAAACTCAGCTTGCACCAAGTTAAATAAAGTGTTGAGGCGTCTCTTTCACTTCATTTTAAAGCTATTTTTCTAGATTTTAAAGTGCTTCTTGCTTCGTGCAATGCTTTGGTTATTATCTCAAATTTTAATTAATTGAAGGTTCCGCGATTAATATAGGAGCGAAGCAAAAAAACTCAGCTTGCACCAAGTTAAATAAAGTGTTGAGGCGTCTCTTTCACTTCATTTTAAAGCTATTTTTCTAGATTTTAAAGTGCTCCCTGCTTCGTGCAATGCTTTGGTTGTTTTCTCAAATTTTAATTAATTGAAGGTTCCGCGATTAATAAGAGCGAAGCAAAAAAACTCAGCTTGCACCAAGTTAAATAAAGTGTTGAGGCGTCTCTTTCACTTCATTTTAAAGCTATTTTTCTAGATTTTAAAGTGCTTCCTGCTTCGTGCAATGCTTTGGTTGTTTTCTCATATTTTAATTAATTGAAGGTTCCGCGATTAATATAGGAGCGAAGCAAAAAAACTCAGCTTGCACCAAGTTAAATAAAGTGTTGAGGCGTCTCTTTCACTTCATTTTAAAGCTATTTTTCTAGATTTTAAAGTGCTTCGTGCAATGCTTTGGTTATTATCTCAAATTTTAATTAATTTAAGGTTCCGCGATTAATATAGGAGCGAAGCAAAAAAACTCAGCTTGCACCAAGTTAAATAAAGTGTTGAGGCGTCTCTTTCACTTCATTTTAAAGCTATTTTTCTAGATTTTAAAGTGCTCCCTGCTTCGTGCAATGCTTTGGTTGTTTTCTCAAATTTTAATTAATTGAAGGTTCCGCGATTAATAAGAGCGAAGCAAAAAAACTCAGCTTGCACCAAGTTAAATAAAGTGTTGAGGCGTCTCTTTCACTTCATTTTAAAGCTATTTTTCTAGATTTTAAAGTGCTTCCTGCTTCGTGCAATGCTTTGGTTATTTTCTCAAATTTTAATTAATTGAAGGTTCCGCGATTAATATAGGAGCGAAGCAAAAAAACTCAGCTTGCACCAAGTTAAATAAAGTGTTGAGGCGTCTCTTTCACTTCATTTTAAAGCTATTTTTCTAGATTTTAAAGTGCTCCCTGCTTCGTGCAATGCTTTGGTTGTTTTCTCAAATTTTAATTAATTGAAGGTTCCGCGATTAATAAGAGCGATGCAAAAAAATTCAGCTTGCACCAAGTTAAATAAAGTGTTGAGGCGTCTCTTTCACTTCATTTTAAAGCTATTTTTCTAGATTTTAAAGTGCTTCCTGCTTCGTGCAATGCTTTGGTTGTTTTCTCAAATTTTAATTAATTGAAGGTTCCGCGATTAATATAGGAGCGAAGCAAAAAAACTCAGCTTGCACCAAGTTAAATAAAGTGTTGAGGCGTCACTTTCACTTCATTTTAAAGCTATTTTTCTAGATTTTAAAGTGCTTCGTTCTTCGTGCAATGCTTTGGTTATTATCTCAAATTTTAATTAATTGAAGGTTCCGCGATTAATAAGAGCGATGCAAAAAAATTCAGCTTGCACCAAGTTAAATAAAGTGTTGAGGCGTCTTTTTCTCTTCATTTTAAAGCTATTTTTTTAGATTTTGAAGTGCTTCCTGCTTCGTGCAATGCTTTGGTTATTTTCTCAAATTTTAATTAATTGAAGGTTCCGCGATTAATAAGAGCGATGCAAAAAAATTCAGCTTGCACCAAGTTAAATAAAGTGTTGAGGCGTCTCTTTCACTTCATTTTAAAGCTATTTTTCTAGATTTTAAAGTGCTTCCTGCTTCGTGCAATGCTTTGGTTGTTTTCTCAAATTTTAATTAATTGAAGGTTCCGCGATTAATATAGGAGCGAAGCAAAAAAACTCAGCTTGCACCAAGTTAAATAAAGTGTTGAGGCGTCACTTTCACTTCATTTTAAAGCTATTTTTCTAGATTTTAAAGTGCTTCGTGCTTCGTGCAATGCTTTGGTTATTTTCTCAAATTTTAATTAATTGAAGGTTCCGCGATTAATATAGGAGCGAAGCAAAAAAACTCAGCTTGCACCAAGTTAAATAAAGTGTTGAGGCGTCTCTTTCACTTCATTTTAAAGCTATTTTTCTAGATTTTAAAGTGCTTCCTGCTTCGTGCAATGCTTTGGTTATTTTCTCAAATTTTAATTAATTGAAGGTTCCGCGATTAATAAGAGCGATGCAAAAAAATTCAGCTTGCACCAAGTTAAATAAAGTGTTGAGGCGTCTCTTTCTCTTCATTTTAAAGCTATTTTTCTAGATTTTAAAGTGCTTCGTGCTTCGTGCAATGCTTTGGTTATTTTCACAAATTTTAATTAATTGAAGGTTCCGCGATTAATAAGAGCGATGCAAAAAAATTCAGCTTGCACCAAGTTAAATAAAGTGTTGAGGCGTCACTTTCACTTCATTTTAAAGCTATTTTTCTAGATTTTAAAGTGCTCCCTGCTTCGTGCAATGCTTTGGTTATTTTCTCAAATTTTAATTAATTGAAGGTTCCGCGATTAATAAGAGCGATGCAAAAAAATTCAGCTTGCACCAAGTTAAATAAAGTGTTGAGGCGTCTCTTTCACTTCATTTTAAAGCTATTTTTCTAGATTTTAAAGTGCTTCCTGCTTCGTGCAATGCTTTGGTTATTTTCTCAAATTTTAATTAATTGAAGGTTCCGCGATTAATAAGAGCGATGCAAAAAAATTCAGCTTGCACCAAGTTGAATAAAGTGTTGAGGCGTCTCTTTCACTTCATTTTAAAGCTTTTTTTCTAGATTTTAAAGAGCTTCGCGCACTGCTTTGGCTGTTTGCTCAATTTTAAAAATTAAAGGTTCTGTGGAAATTAAGTGCGAAGCAAACAAACTCAGTAATTGTGCCGTAAAATTAATTGTTGAACCAGCTTTTTTATTTGATTTTAAAGGTTAATTTTTATTATAAAATTAAATATAATGCTAAACAAAATATTTACTTATTTAATTAAAAAAAATGCTTTATATTTGTAAAATGTACCATTGATTTAAACCAATCAGCAGCAATTTCTTCAATGAAGATTAAAAATTTTGTTAATTACTTTATATATTTTCATTAAACTTTAATAAATTCTATTTTCAGTCCCTTCTAAATAGCTGTTAATAAAAAATTTAATGATTTTACTCACTAAAATTACCTTTTCAAAAACGAATTTCAAAATTCCAAACTTTTCCATCACTTTTAAATGACTTATTCGCCTTCCCCATACTGAAAAAAGCGGTTGTTGCGAATCGAGAAGGGAGCGTCTCGGGGCTCGAGAGGGGCATAAGCAAAGTTTTGCCAGCAGCAGGCACAAGGGTCAACCGGCGCAGGCATTGTGTTGAGAGGGGCCAATTTCTCTCTGCCACGCCACGTTTGGCGGTCTCTCTCTCAAAAGAAGCGGCCAGACACTTCACGAATTACCAGCCAACCCCGCACGCCATTTAACAACCCGCATTTCGCCTCGAAACCTGCAGCAACGACGGCCTGTCCGTTTTTGCCACCGGACCTCTGACGGGGACAAAAACGCGCGCCGGCTTTTATATACCATGGCGAAATTAAACAACACCACGAACGGCAACAACCATATCCTTTGTAGACAAAAGCAAACAGAAATTTGCAAAAGGAATTTGAGGGGAAAAAATTGCACTCACCAGAACATCTCCCAGCTCCTCCGACGAGGCGAAAAAAATGGTCGATTTGCCTGAAACAAAAATTTTAATCAAATTACAAATCTGCACGGAAAATTCGTTTTTTCACAAAAAATGAATTATTTATTCTCTGCCCCCCTCCGAAGAAAGTAAGACCCTACTTGGATTGACTGCTGCAGTCGAGTAAGGCAATATTTTGGCGGCATTCCCGAAGGAGTTCACCTTGCATAAAGCAAGAATTTTGTGACTGTATGGAAAGCATGGAGTGCGAGATAGCGCGGGTAAAATGCAGTTTGTGAGGGGAGTTGAAATATTTCGAAGGGTGAAAGCAAACGGTGGCGCAGTTTTATCAATGCAGTCATTCGGCTGAGCTGCTTTTTCATTCCTCCAGCTATACACATTTGTTTCACAGAATATAACCGCAGAGTGGGTGCAGGCAACTCGCTCAATGCGGCGATTTGCTGCTGAAAAGCAAATGAGCCGCAGCTAATATACAGAAAAAACGATTCATTTTTTCCAACTATAGGGACCAACTTCCTTATCTTGAGATTTAGGAATATTTTTCCGGTAAAACTTAAGCTACGTTTATTGCTTTTAGATTAAATCTAAGTTTTTATTCCTTTCTGTCCATCCTTTTATTACATGGATGGCTTTCTGCAAAATTTGCAATCAACATTTTTTATATCTTAATTATTTTTTATGGTTACAGTCTGTAATTTTTATTCAATAAATCTAAATCAAAATGTTTAAATTTACAAAAAATAATTAATTTTAATCAGCTAATCAAAAAATTTGATGGAAGTCTTTATGATAACCAGGAGCAAGTGCGTTGAAACGTGTTCTGTTTTAAGTCAGAGAGCTACTTTGTTATTCGAAACAGATTTCATATTCCAAAATAGCACCATCTGGAGTGCGCACTTCGTGTCCCTTTTCTCATCCCAAGCGTTTCCTTTTCTCCCTCTTACACATTTTTCCTCCACCACTTTGCATGAAGACGTAAAAATTCCTTTTGATTTTCTCAAGGATGACAAATGAAGTCGCATTTTTCCGACTCCGCGGTGGTTGGTCTCGCAAGCGAAAAAGTTTTTCCACTTCAACCTCTCTGATAAAAAAAAAAAGAAATTTAATTTCTGTCCACTTCTAGGAAAAGATGCTTCTTTTTTCCTTCTTGAAAACGACGCTGTTCATTTAATGATACGCTTTTTATTCATGCAAGAAACTATGATATCCTTGCAGCTGTGATAGGAGATTCCAATTAGAATATCATTAAGGCTTTATTGTGCGCGGCTGCCTGATCAAAGTGCAGAGGAGTCTGATTTATCAAAGAGCAGCCGTACAACAACACACAGCGGCAATAATAATTGGAAATGAATGGCAAGCATTGCGCGGCGCACAAAGTCTGGGCCTCCATTGAAATGCTAACCAGGCATCAAAGGGTGACGTCCTCAATTGCTTCTAGATTTAAAGTCAGACATCCTCGTTACGTGATAATGACATTCGCAAACACGACTCGCCGAAATCAATCATTTCACACGGCGAGATAGAGAGAGAGAGTCCAATACGAGCGCCGGAAATTGCGAATTGCGCGACGGAAATTGGTCAAGATTGACTTTTGTGAGCGGATCGATCGCGCCAGTCGCCCGGCAAATTTTTTCATCTCCACTCTCCGCTAATCAAAATGCTTCATCTGATTATAGGGCGAAATTAGATCAGCGCCTGTTATTAGTCAGTCGCGTGCGTTCATTATGAACACGCCTAATTAAATTTGACTGCATATTGTCAGTTCAGATTTTTTTTCTGACTTTTATTCGCAAAAATAAATTGATGCACCTGATGCTACGTAGGGATGGCTGGCTAATCAATAAGGCACGCCATTGTTAGAAAGATGAAAGGTGCCTTTTAATATCATGAAGAACGGATGGATCGACGCTAGTGATGAAGAGCGAGCGAACGTCAAAAGTTTTGTGCGGATTATGACATGACGTTTGATTGAGAGAGAAAAGCCTCCCCTTTCGGCCAACTTTTTTTAAACTCGTCTTCCTTGAAAGGCTCTTTTCCATTTATTCATCTTCTTTTCCGCGCTGTAAGTGATCTTTTTAACCCTTACTATTTGCAATTTCCCTTAATGGATTCCGTCAAAGAGGATACAAATAAAATTTTCTCCTCATCGAGCTCGTTCATATTTTTAAAATCGATATTCTTTTCTATAGAAAGTTGCAAACATCTCACAGGAACAGACTTTGTAGCCGCAGAAAATCCAACTCCAAGTAATGAAATTGTTCAGAAAAATTTTGCTCAATGAATTTAATAATTAAATAAAAATAAAATGTAACTTGGGTTTTACAGCAGAAATAAATTGGGAATTATAAGAACCAATTTAATTAAAAATTCTAATTTATTTTTAGTTTTATTAGGTTTCATTAGGAATTTTTTCTTCTCATCGCTGATAATGAAGTAATCAATTAAGTAAAATAGAGAAAAACCAAGTTATACGTTGTCAGTTTCAATATTAAAATCTCTCAAATAAACAGAGACAAAAGACTGAATCAAAAGGTTGCATCCAGTTACACTGTATTGAAATCAAAATATTCAAATCATAGTAGCGTAAATTACATTTTTGCCTGGGCGTGTGTAAAACCAAGCGCTCTCATATTCAGGAAGAGAAACGTAAATCATTTCACACGTTCTCATCAATGCCGAGTTCCGGCGGCTTTTCAGCCAAAACCCCGCATAATATTTCGCAATATCGTGTGCCCTACTTGACGATCTTGAGAGGCTGACGAGGGTGTACTTTACTGTACTCTGGTGAGGCGGCACCCTGTCTCTCACCACGGACCCGATTCATCATCCGCCGCACCACCATAACGAGTTTTATTTGGCGTCCAAAGGCATTAATGCAAGCGAGCCGTCCGGCCGGCCGGCCGGGCGCCTATTAATTTTCAGTTCACCGACTTCCCATAAAGTGGGGCGCACACTTTGATGTGGATTTTGCGCGAGTGCGATCTAATACACACGCCCCGCACAGAAGAAGAGGAGCCAAATCTAAGTACATACATGTGCGCTCTCCATCTACCGCATTATAATATGCAAAGTTTTAAGCGTTTTCAATAACACAAACTGCTGGCTGAAAGTGAGGAGCACCAGATTTCAATGTTAAAGCTCCAAGGCAAAGGGAAAACCGCGGCTGAAAACTTACTTTCCATTGTGGTTTTCAGAATTTCCACGGCACGAAAACTGTGGGTAAAAGATTAAATCGAAAATATTAGAAGAAGCCTAAAAAAATGTCTGGAAATTGTTGGCCGAATTATCAATAAGGAAATTACGAAAATGATCAATTTATCGGGATTGCCAAACTTTCTTTTTCAGCTTTGTCGGCGCCGTGGTGTACCCTTCAGAATCACAGTCGTGGCTCTCTTTGCCTCTGTGCCTCGCCATCAAAAACAAACTTGAGGCTAATTTTTGCGCAGCAGGCAAGTCGGAATATGTGTGTGCGCGCCGAGCGTGCTGTGGTTGAAAACTTGCGCTCTAAACCGTGTGTTTCATCTCTCAATATTGAACTCGTTTAACTTCTTCTTCGCCTTGTGACGACGCCAAAGCCGCTTTATTCAAAGAGCTCGCGCCGCTGATACGCCGAATTTCCAGCTACTCAGCATAAGCAGCGGCAGCTCGCCTTCTTCCCTCTCTGTGCCCCTTTTCCTGCTCTTGCTTCATCTGGGCCTCGCGCATTTTTCCGCCTTCTAGGAACGCAGGCAGCCGCTTTGAAGACGCCAATGTATTCTAATTGGCCCGCCAGAGTGGCTTGAATGCAAGTCAATTAGAAAATTTGTAGCTGAATGAATTTTTCATCACAAGCAAAAAATGTCAGTCTTTGGCTGTGGCACCCCGTCGTGTGCAGCAAGTTCAATTTGAAATTGATTTCCATAGCCTTCATGCCTAATGATTATTTCTCTTATAGAATTGGAAACTAATTTGAAATTAATGTGGCAATCATTCTAAAATAAAAAGGAAATTATTTGAGGACTACATTTTGCAAATTTAAACAAGAAAACTTTTTCTTGCGGAAAAAAATTAATTATATATATATTTTTAATTCACTCCAAAATTAATTCTAACAGTAAATAATTTGAAATTTTGCCATTCTGCCTTGATATTAATAATGAAAATAGTTTGTCACCCAAAATGAAATTTAGGCCTTTTAATAACTTTTTATGAATTACTTTTTCCCAAAATAATAATGAAAATTTGATAATTTTTTCCCTACTGTAGAATTATTGCCGATGGTCGGAATTAATTATATATTTTTTTTAAATAATTTATTTTCTGTCTTTTAAATTAGAGTTTAAACATCACGTCACTCAATAAAGGCGAAATCAAATAAAATTTCATGTTGTTTGCAAGTGATTGCACATTATAATATGTATCATAAATGATGCCTAGGCACGAGACGAAATTGAGGGAGTGGCGCGGAAACGTGCTTATTAGATGAGAAGCTGCAGGCATCCAAAGGGAAAAATCGTCGAGATTTACAACGTGCAAGATGGAGAGGGATTGGCTGAGTGAGTGTGATTGCTAAATACGCACGACGTGAGTGAGCGAGAGAGAGGCTCCCTTCAAAAGAAGCCGGCTGAATAATGCGCTCTCTTTGCGCCGGCTGCGAAAATATATGCAAACACGCTTGCTTTTTGAGAGAGCGAGAGCGAGCAGCAGCGAAAGGCAGGCGTGATAAATTTTGCATTTGTCGAGGCATATGCATCATAGCCGGCTGTTTATTCACTAAGGTGACGCCCGAGGAATGTAAATTTTTTATCAGGCAAATATGCTGCCGGCGCAAAAAGCAGCAGCGGCTCCGGCAGCAAACTTTTAACTCGTTTTTCTTCTCCGGCTACACTTCAATGGAGTGCGCTGCGCCGCTCTCTTTTCAAAATAATGTTGACATTTTGGTTTTCAACCGGGCCAGCGGCAGCAGCGAGGCCGCTTTTTATTCGCAAAGTAGCCTGCTCTCTCCGTATATTATCGCCAGAGGGGAAATTTATATAGGGTGCCACCGTTGAAT